CCTAGAAAACAGAAAAGATTTTTTTTTTTTTCTCTTCAGAAGATGTGTCTCACAATAAAAACAAGACTGCTCAAATTCTCCGTATGTACAGCATCCTCCCTCAGAAACAGCCTGCCAAAGCACTGGCGATTTCTATCCAAGTCACACTTGCTCTCCAGTTAGAAGCCATCTGGAAGAAGGTCTAGAATTATGTGCCTCAATCAATCGAGACTGACAAAATTGAGCTGAAAGTTAAAATTCCACTTCCAGTGTAAGGCAGAATTTCATACAGCTAGCACATTCTCCCAGGACAGGACAAGGGAGCAAAACATGAATGGCATATTGAAGAGCTCTCCACATCTTGAGAAGGGGACAAAGGAAGAGGCGAATACAGGCAGTATTATCTCAGTCTCACAGGCAGGATGCAGGCATTGACAGGCAGACTTGAAATCCCCAGAAGAGTCTGTATTTGAGACGGTATTAGAGGCTTGGGTTTCCTATTTATTACAGAAGTCATGCTTAATCTCGTAGGCTATTTTGTCACTCTCAAAACTAGTTTTAGAGGTTCTCTCTCTGTAGATTTCTTTATCCAGAAACAAAAATGTCACAGATTCTTTGAAATACACAGGCAAAAAAAAAAGTCACAGGCTGCATACAAGCTATCATTATATCCAAAATGTCTTGGAAGCAAAGTGTGTTTAACAGGACAGTCCTTAGAATAGCTAAAGGGATTATTTCTCTTCACCCAGAGTGGCAGGCCATTTCAGGTAAGTTTTCAGAACAGGAAAAAATAAAATACCTAGATGCAGACAAGAATCACAAGCAGCCTTCTGAACACAGACATGTAAAAGGATTGAAACATCAGCCTGAAGAAGGCTGACACTTTTTCCACAGAGGAAGAAAGTTACTGAGACAGCACACATTGCTCCAACAGCCTTAGGATTCCTCCTACGCACAGCTGGGTGCATATACCCTCTGCGAAAATGGGAAATCCCAAATATACCCTGATTGCACATGTGTAATTGGACACTCAATTCACCTAAAGCTGCATTTGTAGGAAGGCAGCCCTCATCACAAACAGCCTTCAGCTGCTAATGCGAAGTTGGATCAGCATAGGCTGACAAAAGCGACCAGCACAGCTGCTCTGGGACAGCCATTCCGGCAGCCATCACCCCGTACAATTACCTGCTGAAGACAAAGCCTATACTGAGCAAAGATAAACTATCAGCGTAAGCGTACTTGTCCAATCAAACAGGAACAACCCATCAGTTAAACTAATCAGGGGACTGAATATGACATTTTAATTACCCAGGCTTCTGGAGTCGAGTTCAAACAAACAAACAAACAAACAAACAGAGTCAGCTCAGCTCTAGACAATTCTGAGTCTCACCAGAGCCCAGCTTTCAATGTCTCAACTGCGCTATCGTTTAGGCAAGCTGCTCTCACCCAGGCTGCTCTACCGCGTTACAGATGAATCCAGCCCTCTACGCAAGAGGAATAGCACCACTCAATAGTGCAAACACTGAAGCGTTTTGCCAAAGTTGTGAAACGAGGATGATTTACAGAAGAAAAAAATATTAGATGTGTTATATTTAATGCCTCAGTCACTCTGTTCACACACAGCAGGGCACCAAGAGACATGGATCTCTGGTGCCACCAACAGGCAAAACTCAGTTAGCAAAGACTAATGAGTGTTACCGAAGAAATCAAGGGTTAGAAGAACCCTTCAGCCCTTCTCCTCAAGTAGTTCCCACTTACACATCTGTAAGATCCTCCTCCCTTGTTTGGCAGCATATGAGTTAAAAGAGCAAGTACAGACACGCCACATTATGTCTCAAGCTGCCTAAGTTACCACCAGAAGTTGACGTGACTGAAGTATAAAGTTTTCCATGCACACACTTTTTCTACATCTGTTCCAAATCAGATGCCCATACTTACAGGACAGATGGCGTTCTCAGAAGCCTTCCACCACCAGGCTGAGTAGGAAAGACATCCTCTAAGAAAAAATATATATGCCCAACAGCAATGCCTAGGATAAAGAAAAGTCAAATGGTGATTTTTCAATACTTCTCCTTTGCAACTTCCAAATGCTTCACTAGAGTTTTCATGCTACAATGCTTAGAAATCAACATGAAATGCATCTTAGAAATGCTACAATGTTTAGAAATCAAAAAAAGCCTGTAGAAATATACTATCATTGTACCAGATGAACTAAGTAAAAGGCATTTAGTCCTTGGGGTTTTCCACATTTTTTGTTTCATGTACAACATCAGCAGGA